CAGCCCAAGGGTCACTGCCCCAAGGGGACCGACCCCCGACATGGCCGGGGGTCCTGTGGGATGTGCTCAGAACCCATCCTGGACCCTCCTCCAAGGCCTCGGCAGTAGGAGGTGCGAGGCCGGGGCTCCTCTCCAGTCCACCGGCTCGCCAGGACATGCCTGGAGTGGAGGACAGGGGTCCACCCATGCGCTGCCCCTCCCCTCCTCCGTGTCACAGCTGGGGGTGCCAGATAAGTCAGGACCGATTGACACCCAACACGGCCCCGGCCAGAGACACCTCCCTCTTCTGGGGGAGGACAGTAACCCCCCCCAGCACCCCAGTCCTGGGAGACTCCCGGGCCCCGACTATCCAGCAGGCCTGGAGACATTCCCTCCCCGAAAGCAGGGAGGATGAATGAATGAGTGAATGAATGAATGAAGGAGCCCAGCCCAGGGGAGCAAAGCCAGGGCTCTGTGGGTGGGTCATGGTGGGCTTGGCCACACCAGGCCCTTCCACAGGGGACCTGAGTGGAGCCAGAGCCCTCCCACCGTGGCAGCCCGTCACCCCCACGGCGCAGGTCCCGAATGATGAAACGAGGTTTGTGCCCGAGCTGGAGCCTGACTCCCGCGATAAGGGCCTGGCCCGCCCTCCCCTCCCCTCCCTCCCGCGGTGCGTCTGAGGAGGAGAAGGGGGAGCAGTTTGTTTATACCCCAGGAGAAGTCAAAGGCACCCGCCTCAGGGACCAATGAAAACGGAAGTCAGGAGGTGGCCCCCAAGTCCCAAGTCCAAGTCCACTCTCCCTGTGGACAGCCGTGTCTGTCTCCCGGAGGCTTGTGCCATGTCCCCATGTTCCGTGTCTCTCCCCTTCTCCCGCCACTGGTGGGAATTTGTCCTTGGCCTTGGTTTTTCCACCAGAAATGGGTCTATGGGGGGTGGGGGGCGCACGAGGTGGGTGTGGCTGGAATGGAAGGAAAGGGCAGCAGGTGGCCCGGGCCAAGCCACTAAGCCAGGGCCTCCTGCCTGCCCAGGCCCCAGCAGACACCCCAAGGAGAACAAAGGCCTCAGTCAGGCAGGCGGGGGTGGGCGGGCTGTGGGCGGCCCTCGAGGGGCCCCTGGCACCAGCCGCCGGCTGCTTGTCCCCATGCCAGGGCCCTGGAGGGAGCTCCCAGGCCTAAGGGCTGGGCAGAGGTGGCGGTTGAGTGGGGGGGCCCCCACGGGCTGCTCCGCCTGGTGACTCAGCCCCAACACGGGCCTCCCCGGGGAAGACAATGGTGGCTTGTGGGTGCCGGGAGAGCCTCCTGACAGGTGTGAGCCCCGGGGAGGAGCTCTCTCAGCCTCAGTTTCCCTGACTGTACAATGGGTTTAACCACTCAGGTGTGAGGCCCTCGCAGTCAACACGTGGCTGGGAAAGAGCTATATTGAGGTCCAAGGGGTGGGGTCTCCGACGGCTCGTCTTGCCCTGGACGGCAGGCACCGAATTGGTCACCGTCACCGGCGTGGCAATGACGACGCAAAGCCTGGCATACCATCAGCGCTCAATAATTGAATGGTCGAGGAATGGCCGGTTTCTCCCCTTCCGTGGGTGAAATTGAAGGTCCTGTCTAGAAACCCTGGCCCCAGCGTGGGTGGGGAGTGCGCCCGGCCTTGGAGAAACCCCGGAGCTGGGGCAGTGAGCCCTGGAACCAGCCACAGAGGGCCTCAGACCCCTGGGGTCGGTGCTGGTCTGTGGCAGGGAAGGGTTGGGCCGCAGGTGTGACCTGTTGGCGCCTACTCCGTGCCCCTCGCTTTGCCCTTCCATTCTCCTGATGGGGAAACTGAGGCCCAGAGAGTAGCAAGAACATGCCCGAGGAGGTTTCAGTGGGGTGGGGAAGGATGAGGAATTTGAACCCAGACCCCAGACCCACCCACGGCCTCTCCCCAGACCTGAGGTTCGTTGGGAGCTCTCTGGGCCACAAAGGGTCAGCGCAGTGTGATGGTGGCGCTGGGAACAGCGTTCTGGGCAGAGGGCAATGTCCCGGGTGGGAATGGAAGGTCGCTAGGGCCCAGGGGAGTGTAGATTTCTCTATGGGGCCCCAGGGAACCCTGGAAGATTGTATTTTCATTTATTATTACTTTTATTCTGACTCTGCAGTGTCTATAGTCCTCAAAAGCTGGAGGGCCCCTTGACACGGGGTAACTTTTGACCCAAATGTAGAAAGCCAGATCTGGCCCCAGGTCTGCCCCAACTCAGATCCAAATTCCCTTACACAGATGAGGAAACGGAGGCTCCGGCAGGCAAAGGCACAGCTCGGGTTCCGCTGTGACCCCGACGCGGAGTGAGCCTCGGTTTCCCCGCCAGGAAAAGGGGTAGGTGGGGTCCCGTCCGGGCCTGAGATGCTCGCTCGCAACATTCAGCACCCGGGGCCGGCCCCAGAAACTCAGAGACGACATAGGTAAAGAGGCCGCACGGGCGGCCATGCAAACCTAAGACTAAAACTCCCGCACCCACCCCCACTGCTTCTCGCGGCCTCTCGCTTGGAGAGTCCCGCCTCCGCCACAGGAGGGAGGACGGGGAGGGGCGGGGCCTCGCGGCGAATGGCCGGCGACCCCGCCAATCAGGCTTTGGCGCCCTCCGATTGGCCACGTGTGTCCTCCTTATCTTTCAATCTCACGGTCCTTTCCTCCACTTGCGTCATGGGAGGTGCGCTCCGTCCACATGTGCCTCCGCGCGGGAAGATAGTCCCTCCCGCGTCCCCATGCCATTGGCTGACGGCCCCTTCCCGGGCGCCCCGGCTCCCAGGCTGCAGGCTCCGGAGGCCCGCAGGGGTCCCGTCGCGGGCGCTCGCGGGGACCGAGCCGCGGGGCCGGGGCGCGGGAGACGCGGGCACGGCGGAGGGATCCGTGGCGCGGCGGGCGTGGCGCGGCACGGGGCGTGGCGGGGGCGTGCCCTGCGCGGGGCGGGGCCTGCGCGGGCGCGGGCGGGGGGCGGAACATGTCTCCCGCCGCAGGAAGATGAGGCAGCGGCGGCGGCTGCGGGCGTAGCGGGCCGGAGCCGAGCCGGACCCGACGCGGGCGGCGGGCACCGCGGGCACCGCGCG